AATGCAGCAGGGTTTTTGCTAAAGTGTGGGAGCACACAGTTTGCTTCAGCCGGGAGAGGCAACTGAATTTGGCATGATTGCATTTCAGTTTGATGGAGATGCATGTAATTTTGCAATGAGTATTGCCTTAAGCAGCAGAACTCAAGTAGTCAGGTTTTCTAGGGGCTTGTGTCTTGAGTTCTATGGATTATCTGATGTCTGTTGAGGTGGGAGCTCGCACTAACTCCATTTAGTTCGGCATGCATGAGGTCCCTCTGTTAGCTGGCTTCTTGCTTCTGTGAAAAGTTTCCAGATCTGACTTACTTGTTTGTTTTAACCTCTGTCATACTGAACAGCAGTTCTTGGAATTGGGAATTGGATGACACAAACATAGAGTATGTTTGCATGAGACTGACTGACTTGGAAGCAGACTAAAATTAGGATCTTTTCAAATGCTCATTTAACTGCTGGTTAAATACTAGGGATTTGAATTTGCTCTATGTTGTTATGCATTATGTTTACTTTGTTTGTGGTGAAGGATTTAGAAAATACACGTAGTTCTTCACTAACCAATTTTCAAACCGGTTTCAATACACTAGGTAACATAGAAGGCAGACAAACTACTGGATTTCATTGATCACCACTGTATTTTATTTCCAAGTGCTTAGTTGCATTTCACTTCATTTTTTATCATTTATATAGTCTTGCCTTTGCAAGAACTAAAATGGTCTTACTGAAATACTGGTTCATCCAGTTTTCCTTGCAATTTTATTACGTTTTTTCAAGTTGAAAATTGGGAATAAGCAGTTAGGAAGTAAAAGCAGTAGTCACAGAGATTGCAAATAGCAAATTATAGCTTCCTTGCTTTTCCAGACTGCTAACGAATGTGTACTTTAATGTTGGTCAGTGAAGTATTAATTGAATTTAGAGTGCAGACTTAAAACCACGGCCACAAAGTCGATGCCTCATTTAAATGTAAAATATATAAAAGCATTAGAAATTTTTGACATTATGTTTATTTTCAAAAGTGAATACTGAATTGGCTCAGAGGATTTGGAATCCAGTCAGTTTCAGCATGTTTTTAAGATTTAGGAATCTGAAAATATGGATGCACAGAAAGGGAAAGTGACTTGGCTACTCCTGCTGAATAGATTTGAATATTGCTTGCAATATCATTTACCTCATATGACATGCATTTTTCTTTCGTTTTGAAGCATTTTAGATATATCAGAAGGAGAGCTTGAATCCACAGTGTTCTAATGAACTAATTAAAATGAATTTATGGCTGGATAATGTTGTGGATGGGTTTCTGTTCTGTAGCATGTGACTGATATAGTGCACACTGACAATTAAGGCTTTCCGAACTTGTTTTGCTGAATGAGTCTGGGTGTTTTCCAGCTCTTTTGGCCCGGTGATCTATCAGAATTTATGACTTAAGTTATCTTTGGGGAGTTCCAGTGAAAAAAAGACTTGGAGGATGCTGAAGGTTTTTGACCCTCTGTCCGCTTGTCATCTTGTTACAAACATGCCTCTGACTTGCCTGGAAGTCCCCGTGTTTTGTTCTTAGCAGTTATCCATTAGTGGTAAGATTCAGCACAGAACTTGCGCATACCTAGAGGTTAGTAGCTGCAGTGTCCAAGTGCACCTCCTGATTCCTGGAGAGAGAGCCAGGATGTTCTTCGTACCTGTCAGGGTTCAGATTTATACTCCAGGACAGTCTTGATGCTGTGCTATTCTTCAAAAAGATTTATTGAATGAGAGGAGTGTAGTATTAGTGTTTAAGGCAGTCATCTGGGGAATGGGAAATGGTTACAATTCCTATAATTTGTGTAGATTATTCCATGTCTTTATGAGGTCTGAAATTCTGGCTGCTACATGCTGTACTTGAGGCTGCACTTGGGACTGTTCAGGAAGTGAAACTAGGAAAGAGTACCTCATCCACTTGCACGGTGCACTTACGTATAAAGAACATTCTAGTTTGTGCTGGTACCCGCACCTGTTTCTGCACCTGAGGTCTTGGATGTAGACTGTTAAATCTTAAATGTTTTGAGATGGCAAGAGCACATCTCCCTGCCATGCCTGAAGTCAGCAAACTGTTCAAGTTAAAAAACTCCTTTAGCATTGTCGTACTGCTATGGCATCCTTTGCTTTGGAGCTTATTGTACACCTGATCTGCCTGATTACAAAGCCTTTGTCCAATTGTTGTGACTATTCATTTATTTCTGCTCTTATTTATTTCTTTAATTAATTAATTTGAGGAATAATTTCCCACAACAGTGGTAGGGCCATATAGATACATTTCTGAAAATATAAAGAAATAAGAGAAAGTTTAGGCTTGCTAGCACCTATTTGCCTTTCTATTTCTTAGCTGAACATTGCCATTAAAATTGCTGGTTAGTTTTGGTTACGTGTGTTGGTCTTTCTTCATATGACTAGTTGCTTACAAGAAATTGGATGAACTGCTTTTTTTAGAAAACTCTTTAGAGTAGTATTTGGTCACAAACACTGTGGATTCATTCCAATACCATGGGGCAAATTCAGCTTTTCAGTTCCCTGTAGTATTTGGCCCTGCATTAGGTTTTTAGTTTACTTTTTGTTCAGTTCTCTAAACTGTGATGTTTGTGATTTGATGGATATAAACTTTGGTAGAGTAAGTTGGCAACAATGGTTTTTATTTACTTTTGCAGGAAATTGGATTTTATCTAGTGATATTGCTTGCTTCAAGCAAAACTATCGGTTTTAATTCACTTCTACAATTCAAAAACCCTTTCAAGAAAGGAGCTTGTTTCCTTAGCTTTTCTTTCTGGGAGCCACATGGGAGGGCAGGGCTAGAAATCAGAGGGCACCAGCCTGATGTTGTCACATGCCTGACCTCCGGAGGTACTGGAGTGGCTGAGGTAGAGCCAGAGGCAGAGCCAGATGTGTTGTTGTTCCTCAACATATCTGTAGTTAATTATGTCCCATCGTGTCCCATGAGACCCTTTTTCAGTTTCATTTTCTTGGTGCCTTTATAATAAGGAATAATGTTTTGTATGAGTGGTAGTCAGTTTTTAAATGGGTATAGAAATCCCTTTTATTGATTACACACACCTTGAAAAAGGGCAGGACTGGATTTATGGGTCTGTGTGTATGACCTTTGCCTGTTAGTACTGCTGTATTTTTTGTACCATATATTAATGAATATATTAATTTGTGAGTTTATGGTATCATTACTGCATTATAAATCATATTGTTATTACACGAGAAGGTCATTATTCAGTGCACGTTGTATGGTACTGGCAGGTAGGGACTCCCAGTTGAAGCTATGAGAGAGAATCTTCTTGTAACATGACAATAAAAATTTTTTCCAAGGAAGTGATTCTTTAAGGCATTCCGTTTACAGTTTTCAGAGTGATTGCACAACTGAAGAATCAGGTACTAAGAGCTTGTCTTGTTTACTCATCGTCATGTGGATATTGAAAACTGATAATCCTTTAGATTTATACTGGTTTTTAACACACAACCATTGCTGTTGTACATGTAGTACTGGAAGGCTCTGTGGGAATGCTGTTGATAGGGAATAAACTGGCTTTTTTTATTTACTTGTGTTTTTCTGCTTTTTTTATTTCTCTTTAAACAATGTTGTCTATACCTGTGCTAAGTCCAGTTTGACAATGGCTAAAGTACTGGTGACAGCTGGGGGTAGCATTTAACATAAGGAAACATCAACTTGTTTCCATTTTCATTGGGAACAGTAGTGACAAACTTGATGGGAGTGGGGGTGGTGGAGGAGGGAGCAGAGGTCTAATGAAAGCACAGCCATTGGCTAACTCTTTAATCTGGGGAGGGGGATGATCTTGAACTAGACAAATCCTGTTTAAAGAATTGGGTAATTAGTAGTCTTGTCACTCCACAGATTAGCATTTTGAATCCTTTTCAGTAAAAATGCAAACTGCCTTTATTATTTCCATCTTTCAAAAGGCACATAATTGAAAACTATTGTGTTATTTGAGATGGTTCTTTGAATTGTCTTCAAAAAGAAGATTTTATTTTTCCCCCGTCTGATTGAATGTATTTAGTTGTTTGTTGAATGACAATATATTCAGATTGGATTTGTGCCTTGCGTAGCCCCATCTTGTCTGAGGACTGAAAAGGTAGAATGGCCTCACTCCAATTTATTTCTTGTACAGTGTAGCAAAACCAAACCTAACCTGTCATCTCCTCAGTGATCTTACAATAAATATTAATTAGTTTATTAATATTTCATGATCTCTCAGCAGTCTTTCAGTTGTATTTTTCATTCTTTCAACTGACTAATGCTGGGGTCCTTTCTTGCATTCCATGTTTTCAAGTGGTATTTGTCCTCTAGTGGGCTGACTGACTTCTGTAATCTAAGAGCCACCAGCTTGTTGTCATCATCAATGAAGTATGCAGCCAACACTTAGAAGCCAGAAGATAACCACTTTTAGATGTTTGAACATGATCTTACCCTACTGTTATGGTGTGGGGTTTTTGGAGTTACCCTCTCCCCCCCTTAAATATTTTTAAAAATATTTATTTAATCTCTGTCTATTGGGATTCTGATTTAGTGGGCAACACTAGAGGAGTTGCAAATATGCAACACATCCTGGGTGTTTTTGAAGACAAGGAGGGAAAGTGTGAAAGCATAGAGTGTGGTCTTCCTTCTGGTGGATACTGCTGGTTTGAAAGCTTCTGCTCTTACTTCTGAGGATAAGAGGATGCCAAATGGGGAGGAGGGAGGGAGGAGAATGTCTAAGACCCTTTACTGAAGGTAAGTAACTAGTATTTAGACACTAACAAAAGCTTGACAGCTGTTTTTTAAAGCAACTCCGAGAATAAAAACAATTTAAGAAAACTGTGAATACATCGCTATTACTTCTAACTGCAAAATTCAACAAACTTTGTATTTCATTCCATTAATATTAGTAGTTAAAACAAACCAAATAAACCAAAAGAAAACACAACCACCCACCTCTTTACCTGTCTAACTTAGTTCATGTTTTTACTTGTTTTATTTCTAGCATATTATCAAGTTTCACCGTGCCTCAAAAGCAAATAAAAAGCCCATGCAATTGCCAAGATCTATGGTTAAATCCCTACTCTACCAGATCCTCGATGGAATCCATTACCTCCATGCAAACTGGGTGCTTCACAGGGATCTGGTAAGTGTGGCATGTATTACCTGGTTAGGAAAGTTCCACGTGTGTGTTGTTGGGTAGGACAAGAAAAGTCCCTATTAGTAATCTTGCGTATCGATCCGTACAGCTCTTCCTGTTATTGTTACAGGAGACCAATTGAGACTTCAAACATGAAAACAAACTATGTTTTCACATTGTTTTTATCTGAGTCATCTGAGCTCAGACAATGATACTAGATCCGGTAAAAGGATTGCAGATATCGATATCCGAAAACAGTTCGTGAGACAGCTGATATATGTTGGTTGAACATTCTTATAAGTTTGTGCATGACTTTGAAAAGGCATTTAAGTAGGAAAGTGGTTGATACTCTTGTACGTTTTTTGGCTTACGTGCAAGTTACCATAAAAGCTAGTGAAAGAATAGTTTTTTCATGGAGTATTTCTTTTCCATGTGGTGTTTTTTCTGACCGTGGGAAGAGAACTATAAAAGAGTTATCATCTTGAAATTTCTCATGACCTTAAGTGGCTCTTTAAGTTGACTGCAGATTACAAGGGCAGCCAGTTGCCTTGTCTTAGTTACCCTTTTCCCTTTAAAGTTTTCCATCGCTCCTCATGCTTAAGTGAAGTGCTACCACAGGTTACAAAAAGAATACTAATGTGAGTATGCTGCCACTTGCATCGTAATTAGAGTATTTGGCATCAGACAAACAAATATGATGGTTAATACACCAAATGTCACTAGTAGGTATGGTAGGAAATGTAGTGTAATCTGGGTATAAAGCCACAGCTTTTGTTTGGTTCTTTTCCATAGTTGCCCCAGTATGTCAAAATAGGGCTGCATGTCCAGAAACTTACAATCACTAATTAAGTTTTGTGAGACATAGATTAGTCTTGAGTCTTTAATAGTAAATAGGGGCTTGGATTAATTTTTGGATGTAGAGCAATTTTTTTTGAAAGACATGAATATACCAAGGCAGGCTTGGAATAGAAGTCACGGACATCTTCTGAACTAAATTTGATCTATTTTTTGTTGTAATACTTAACAACAGCGGCTAGAATGGGTTTCAGATTTTGGTATGGATCGTTTTTTTAGTTTGTTCTTTGGTGTTTATTGTCAGTTTTTCTGTTAAATTCCAAATGTTGGTATACTGGGGAGATGGAGAGGGGTCACCTTTGGAATAGTAGCCACGACCAAAAACAGGAAGCATGTACAATCCTGATTTTCATGATGCAATTACTACCTTCCTAAGGAGACAGCTGTTGCTTTGGCAGAGTGCTCAGATGTAATTAGCTACAGCTTGAGAAGGAACACCTGAAAAGTCTATATCCAACTATGTTTGAGGGAAATATGCATTCATGGAACTTTTAAATATATATACACTCAAATGCCATGCATGAATTTGATATTTTGATAGGAAATACAAGATCTAAGTAATTAAGGTAATAATAACAAATACCCTCAAGAAGTTTCTTGCTGGTGTTGCCATTTCCAGCCTGCAGCACCAGGTATGTTGCGTGACTAGTGCTGCTACTTTACAGTTCTTATCTGTGGTTGACACGTTGCAGCAAAGCTGATGTCTAATGTCTCTGGCTTTCCTTTTGGAATTTTGGGAGATGATTGTTGCTGTTAAAAAACCACTGTTTTTCATGGCTCTGGAATGATAGCGCTTGACAGATGTTGGCATAACTGAGAAGGGAGAAGAACAGAAATTTGTGAAATCTCAATGTGGTCTTGATCTACAAGTAAATTTAAGCAGATGGATTCTGGGATACCTCAGTAAGACAAATGAAGCCATTTTGAAAATTGCTTTTATACACTGGTGATTAAAAAGTGTATTCAGAATCCTTTGCCTTTTTAAAATTTGTTGTGGATTCCTGAAGAATTCAGGTACTTCAAATAGTTGTATCTTGAACATGGTAAGAAAAAGCCTGATGTTATTCTGGATGTGTCCTGTTGGGACTTGAACTTCAAGGTTAATATAATAATTTAGTAACCAGTTTAAATCCTCAGTGAATGAAAAGTCTTTTATATCTGTAATTTTTATTCATATGCTCATACTTGTGATTTTTGCTACTAAGCACGGTACCTCAAGGCATGGTTTCACTGGAATCAGTTCCTTGCGTAATACCTGAATACCAGCTCCTCAGTGTCTTCTTAAGATGGGGAGCAGGTTTTTTGGTGTTTTTCTCTTAGCTGTTTTAATTTACATCTGCTGGAAAAAATATTTTTCCATTTTATGTAAACCAAATTTTGCATCAAAACACCTTGTACTTTCTTGGTTTAATATAACTCTGTTCTTACTATTTTTAACATGTATTTGGATGTAGACCAAAGATAGTGACATCCATTAAAAGTCATGTTATGCTTTTTTCATTGCTTCAAAAAAATATTAGATTCTCCAAGAATATTTATCATAATATTAGTCAAATTCTCCTCAGCCATGGAAATGATCTCTTTAATTTATTTAACAAATGTTATGAAAAAACAGAAACATGTCAGATTAGGTATTTGCAAGAGTATGCACTTAGAGAGGTATATGAAGAACATTGTTTAAATCTTAACTTACTAGTGTCTTAAATAAAAGATTTAACCAAAAATAACCAAATATAACCAAATAAACCAAAAATAACACCAAATGTGTTATTTAAAAACCTTAAAATTACGATGGTATTTTTAGTTGTTATTTTTAATATCAGCAGTAGCCAGCAAAAGTGTGACAGGGTAATAGAAGTGGTGAACAATGTGAATTTGCAGACTTGCAATACATGTCCTGTCCTTGGCCTGAGCTAATGGATAGTTGTTACCACAAGGAGACAGTCTTGTTCCCATCTTCACTGCTGCTAGGCATTGCCACCCATGTTATTGGTCTGGCAGGTGATACTCACCTGACTCATGGTGAGCTCATTCAAAGTGTTAAACACACAGAAAATATCCACTTTTCACCTGCAGAGCTTGTTTTCTGCAGGTTTAACTCCCTGAGGGACCTCACTGGGAACAGGAGTTGGCGCAGAGGGAGCGTGAGGCTGGAGGTGGTGGCAGAAAGCTCTACAGGCTGTTCTAGCATCGTCTGCCATTAGATCATATTATTTTTTTGTTAAAATACACTTTTTTGGTTCTTTGGAGAAAGTGCAAGTGTTCCTAAAAGATAAAATCAGTATAATTTTTATGTTTGCCTTGACTCTCTTGTGATACAAGACTTACATCAGCTTGAACTATGCCAAAACAAGTCCAAATTTAGGAAAGTGCCCATATTGAGGCAAACACTGAATACGCTCACACTCATACTTCTAGAAGTTTGAAAATAATTTAGTGTAGTGTATCTTTCAATGTTTTCTGAGGTTTAGGTTATTTTGTTTCTGACTTCCTTACCCTAAGAGTAGCTGAAAGGTGCTAAGTGACTTTTAAAGTTTTTTTTTTCTAAGCTGTTGGTTTTGGTCAGTTAAAAAGCATTCAGCTGTTAAGGCAAGATTCAAACAAGTATTAAATATGGAACAGAAGCACTAGATGTCTGATTTCTTTAAATAGCATTGTGTCAGCCTGTACACCTTGGAGTTGACCTAAGTCTATGAAAATCCATACACTTGTTCTCCTGTCAACCCATTTCGAGTGGTATTTTGTTGTTGGATTGCGTGTCATTGGGCAATGACAATTTTACCTTTTCAACATAGCAGCATTCCTGAAAGCCATGCACTAGAGGAGGGAGGATTTACTGGCTCTACTAGCTGCTGGGGCATTTTCTTATGAACAAGAGGTTAGTACAGATGGATATTGGAGAAAAAACCTTTGAGTACTAAGCTTTTGTGTTTTTATAAATGCTCTATATACACTGTGGGCTGCCCACTTGAACGAGATCTAGTATTGTGCTCCATATCTTGAGTCAATAGCAAGTTAGAAGATGCAGCACTTGGAGTACAGTATTTCAGGGTGTTCTAATATTTAGATTCTACAGGAACGTTCAGCAAAGGTCTTACTTTGCAGGGATGTTAAAAAATGGAGACTGTCCATATACTGTTTGAAGTGTCTGTTCATGTTAGCAACAGGAAGGATTGAGGCACTTCATTGTGCTAATAACCTCTCTGTAGATGGTGTTATTTGCTTAAGGACAAAACCAGGCTCAGACCATATCCTTTAGAACCTTATAAAAGCAATTTCTGTTTGTAATAGGATGTATTTTCCTGAAGGGGAGGTATTATCTATGAGATGTTTGAAGTGCACAGAATCCATACTGAGGAATTAATTTAAGATTCCATTTACGTCCTTGAGCGTTTCTTTAGAATACTGCTTTGTATTATTAAAACTATGGGTTGAAAAATGAATGTTGGAAATCAGACTCACCAGAGAAATGCATATTTGTTTTCGTTTCTCCCCCCTTTTCCCTGGAATTATGTTAAATGGCCGCTTTCAGCATTCTGAAGTTGAAAACTTGTTTGTTGCAATGATCATATCAACTAAGTCTGTAAAATAAGCCAAGTTCCTAAAGCGTTTTTATTATAATTTTAAATACTTGTTGACTAAGAATTTCTCATTTTCTCTTGTACTGACCCTCTACAGCTTTAGAATGTTGTAATTGACTGTGCGTCGTTTTGCAAATTAGGGAGATTAGTGTACAGCAAAAGTACAACTCCTTCAGTTTGCAGTCTACAATGTCAGTATAAAAAGCATGAACAGCAGTGGCAAGGAAAGGGTACTTTTCCTATTTCTGTTTTGGGAGGGAATCGGTGGTGATATGGCAGACTTCTGCACGCAAGTGAATAAATCCTGAAGAAAATTCTGGGTGCAAGGTCCTTACATACTGCAGGACAGCTCTTATGGTGATATTCAGTGAGGAAAAGTGGTTGTAATCCTTCTCTAGCCAGTATTTAAATCTGCAGTCTCTTACCATGAACCTATACCTGGACACTGCTCTGGAATTTTGCTGCCACATTACACAACTCACTTGTCTTTGCCTCTGTTTCCCAATCTGCTAGCTATTTATGGGTCTAATTTTAGCTTACTGCTTTATGTGCTGTGAAAGCAGTATAATG